CCCCCCAACGCCACGGAGCGTGCGCTTTTAAATTAACACACGGTAATTACCGCGCCGAGTAACTCTCCGTATTTATCTCGCATTCCTGAGCGAGGGGTCAAGAAATGACTACAACGGTCATATACGCATAGCTTTAATAAGAGCTGTCTATATACAAGCACCCGCGCCCAGTCTTCTTGGGTAAACGGTCACTACCGGCCGAACGTTCCGCAAATAGATGAATCCTGGCGGGTTCCCCTGGTGGTCGACCGGCTGAAATTCCAGGCAGGGTCGACCGACCGTTTTCCAGAAGGCTGCCTGAGGTAACAGGGCCTCGGTGCACCAAGCATAATCGAGCGTACAGTACCGGTACGGTCTAGCCATCCACATTAATCTACCGGCTATATCCACGTATCACATGCACACAGTCAAGAAGGAAACCGTCAACGTACGTCATAGCGAGTAAGATCATTGGAGGTTTTCAAAATAACTAAAATCACATGACATGACTAATTCCAATTTGCAGTTTCCACGGCTGAATAATTGAGTCAAGTCTCCGTACACAAGGACTCCGACAGACCAGGGCCGTGCGAGTATACAAAAACTACAAGAGAAATTCTCAGTTGTACCCAACGTGCCAAGCAAATGATCGATGAAAACCGGAAGTGTAGGAAAAACGCAGCTTTGGAAGGTTTTAAAAATTATTTCAAGGCTCCCTATACCAGCCCGTGATGATGCGTAAACTTTATCGCAACGTTAAGCATAGAGCGTTGAGATGTGAGGAGAGCCAAGAGATTGCTCGGAAGCAGCCGAGGCCATCTGTTTCGCTTGGTTCCCACGCTTCCGCCGTTGCCTTAGCCTGCCTTGCCCTGCCCTGCCATGCAGAGACTCGTCCAGGAGTCTCGCTCGCTAACCAACACACCTCCGCTCGTGGTCTCGACCCGACAATGTATAGAAGTTTCTACGTACGAACGTGTCTCTCTCCGGCGTCCACCTATCCGGTACAGCAATGCGTGCATACGTGTATAAGAACGCTACATTATACCGTATTGTAGCGTGCACTGTACATTACACGCTCCCTGTTCAACTGCATCCAAACAGACTGAACTCTCTTCTCGGCAAGAGCCAGACGCATTGTCACCGTTCGCAGCTTGGCGCTTGAGAACTCCGGGATTTAGACGCGAATTACTTTGCGCTTAAGTTTTACCGGCTTCTTTTTCTTCCCCTCTCCTTTACGAGGTCGCAATGCAAATGCATTGTTCACGGTTAATGCAACTTCACATACGGGCTACCTGCATACGCGTAACGGTGTATGTAAAACCGTGCACAGTGAAATTTGCTGAAATTTCATTAGCTGCATGCTCTTTGCCCAGAATCACTGGATCGGACTAGGCTTTGGTATTAAGCACGGTTTTCACGTAATACAAGAGGAAGATACCGCGTGGACGTTGCTTTGTGTTACGGACAGTAACGCGTAATCGGGAGAAGATTTATCGGCAAAAGGAGGAACCGTGTTGCCAGGAGTCCCACTCGTGGGGTTCTTCAGGTTCGTGACTAATTTACAGGGTGCGTGTCTCTGTCACGGGCCCCCCATAATTTAACTCTTCATATACGTATATACCAGACACCCTCTTGTTCTCCCAGCATACGTGCACGTGCCATGTGCCGCCATTATTGTCACTGTCCTGAAGTGTATTTACACGAAGGAGTTTCAAGGGTACCGAATGCAGGGTACGTTAAGGACGTCAGGCGTACTCTGCCGATGTTACGGTGGTGAACACTGTTTCTCCTTGCACCCTGCGGTATCAATAACCATGGGACTTGTTACGGTGGGGTCCATATTTTTGAGGGCTGTAATTTCATAGAAGGATAAACACGGCCGACCGCAACCCCGCCTTTCCCCCGTGGCAACGTACGATGTTGATATTTGCTCGAAACGTTCACACGGGTACTTGGTGATCCCTGCGAGCTACGTGCCGCAAAGGGGATGACTTATCTCCATAGAGAGTTATCGGAAAGGGTTATACGACTGTTCAAAGTATAGAAATAGAAATGGTCTCCTTATACGTTGAGTGATTCAGGCTTCAAAGTACATAAAATCAAAAGACTGATAGGTGCATTTAGATTATCGAAATGGTATAGGAATGCTTAATAAAAATAACTAGACAAATCGTGTGGCGTATAATAACGAACCGAAGCGACTGTATACGAAATCATTATGGACCTTTAATAGAACGGAATTCCTCCGCGCCCAATAATCGTTCAATCAGTCATCAAGGCAATGAGAATGTAATGCTACAAAAGTATTCACATCCGGTGGAGAATCTCGTTCTTAGAGATTGCGTAAGGTCACCATGAAACGGATGAGCGAGTGAGAGAGAGAGAGATAGAGACTAATAGGAGAAAAAAAGAAGTAAAGAAAATTAAGGAAGTCTGTTCGTCACTGTGTTCTTAGGATAAAAAGAAAAAGTAAACGCGATAAATCGCGGCTTCCGATTCACATGTAGCGACAACCATGTAACCTTGTTCCCTTTTTTTTCAATATGATACAGTAAGATGCTCGGAGAGAATTCCGAAACATCTGGAAGCCCGGATCTCGGCTTCTCACGGTTTTCGGGCGGGGTGAGAAAATTTCTAAACTTTTTCTTTCATCCCTCATTCGGTACAGAAACGGTAATTGGATAAGGTCCCTTAAACCGGATCTTAACAATTTCGATTATTGGCTCTACCAATTTCCTTGTTAATCAAGAAGATTTCCATGAAAATAAATGACGCTGGTACGGAACGTTTCCGTTAAATAATCTTACATATTCAGATAGGACACGTAACATTAATGCGCGTGGGTCACGAATGCTCGAACAAGTAATTAAGAATTACCATTGAACTTTGTAACGGTGCAACTGGCATATTTATGAATGCACGCGCGATTAAAAGGGCCGATTAAGATTTCCTCTCAATTGCTCCTGGCGACATAACAATATATATACTTGGTACAATGTCGATTAACGGAAACGTTTCCTTATTACCGATTCGAGAGGGGTTTTAATTCGTCGAACAAAGCGCCATTGCTCGACCAAGCAAACAACACGGGAACAATAACGAGCAAAGGAACAATAAGTCGCTGGAGAAGGATATTCCTGTGAGGTTATTCAATGAAAATTAAACAGCAGACCTATCCTAGCAACGCTGAAGACATACTATACCACAAGGGGTTTAAACGGACCGCATTAGGTACTGGAAACCAAAATCCTTTAAAGTCCCTAACCTGAAACTTCAAACCCCAACAGAGCATCCGTTTTCGAACAGACTGCAAACGACGCGTGGCAGCTGCTCTTCTGTATAAGAAATGATGAATGTCATCCAGAGCAGGTAGAATGAGAGAAAAAAGGGTTCACCCTACAATAATTTAACCGAGAAAAGCGAAGATAAAATAAATTTTACCCCCGACGTATAAGATCTTGATTTTTGAGTAATGTTCCTGGCACTTGGGAGACTCTGTGTATTCTTCGTGATTCATACAACTATAATGTAGGGTAATAAATACCAAGAGATGACGATGCGCGTTAGAGGCATCAGCATTTACGTATTTAAATAAACTTTATTTCGTATTCTTACCATTCTTTTCCTAGGACAATTTCGAAGATATATTACATAATGACATTTCATTTTTATATATGTATATGTTTCTTCATGGCAATTATTATGTCCGCGCATTTCCATTGGGTTCTACGGCTCGTTACTGCGTTAACGGCACCGCGACCATCAACGCAGTCGCTGCTCGATTATTTCATTGGAGAACGCATGAAAGTCACGGTGCGTTGCTCTTTATGTATAATATGTACATATTGGGAAAAGCAAGTGTTCACGAACATTTCGTAATGGTAACGGATACCTGAGTACGTTCGATACGGCTGAACTTCTGTTAAGAGTCGGCTACGAAAAACCCCAGTCATCCTTAACGAGGCTAGATACTATATATGTATAACAGCGACAGAAATATACACCTATAGCGGGTACGTCGGCACCGGTGTAGCTTTGTTTACAACCCACACTCAAAATGGAACCACTACTTTTATCATGCTGAGAGATTACAGCTTTCCTCGAAAATCATGCATCGACGATGATTATCGAGGGACGAGTACACAACGATTTAAAAGGGTTTCAAATTCAAGGAAAATAAATAAAAATTTACAAGATAGATAAGCAGACTGTATTCGGCCGCTATTGGAAATTTCGTAACAGACTACAGTATTCAGGATAGTTTCAACAACACAGCCCTCTAAGTAATCTCATTCTACGTTCAAGATAGAAACAAGTAAAATATACTAAACATAATAAGATGTTATTCCGGTCCAAGCTCTCACCTCGTCAGTGATAATCGGTGCTTTGTCCATGTTATCATTAATAGGACTTGGTGGCGACGTAGGACTCGCACTAGGACTCACGTTGAAGCTCTTACTCTCCTTGGCCGGTCTCTGAGGCGAGACCCTAGCCGGAAAACTAAGGGTCTTCGTCCACTGCGAAAGGCCGCGCACCATCTTCGCGAATTTACGTAGGGAAACGTAAAAGGGAAGAAGAAGTTCACTGCTGTCGCGAAGCTATTCCTCGTTTCACACTTGTTCGCACGCGAGAGAAATACAACACGGCCAGGATGGGAGGTTCAGCGAACCGGACCGGACCGATGTAGGTAAAAACGTTGCGCGACCACTCGCCCGTTCAGGGAGACGCGTGTATCCGGTGTAACACGCCGATCGATCGCGATCAACACGAATGACGTACCACACGCTAAGAGGTTCGTTGACAGACTGAGTAAGAGTGCAAACTGTAGTCCCTGCGCAGTGAACAACTGCGCGAGTCAAGCTCGGCGTGCTGTGATTGGTTGAACAGCTACGTGATGGGGGGAAGCTTTGAGCTTGGATGAACGGCTCATATAGAAATAGTAGGGGTAGAGCACGCGTCTCTGTTGGTCTCTGCTCATACAACATGGTTAAGAGGAGACTTCGTATGTCCTCTTGTTATATACATATATGCTGAGAAAGAGCATGAAAGAAAGGAGAAGCAAAGGAAGGTACATATGCACGGTACGAGAGAGCGAAGGAACAAGACTATCGGCAATGTGGCACATGCCGAGGCACACGCGATCCTTCAGGCCATACCAACAGTTGAGATTTACATGGCAGAGATCTAGAAGTATCAAGGGAACATCCATCCTGGAATATTATCCTGGACTTTTTGGTATTTCCTGTGCTAGATACGAATCTGTGTACTGTTTGTCTAATGAATGTTCACACGTAGATACTGCATGATTGAAATATTCTAATTGTTGGTGATTTAAACGGAACAGGATATATGGCATCAAGGACGCATTAGAAAATCATTTTACTGTCTTGCGGATTGCTGTAACAGGTCGTGAAATACTAGAGCGGCACAAGACAAGCCCGTAAAGTAATTCTTATAGATAAGAAATCTCCGTATACACGTATTCGTAAGAGCGCCTGCGTGGACAACTCTGGCTAATAGGGAAAAAATGTCAGGCTCAGGCCTATGTCGAAGTATGCTTCGCACATTCAGTTGCATATGGATAGGATCTAGCCAGCTGCGGCCTTCTCCGACCTTCTCCCCACTATTCTGAACAACAGGCCGAGCACTCTGGTCGGCAACTTTAGATATGACAACCGGTAACGCCACTCTGAGTGCCTGTACCTTCGTTCCAGTTCGAAAGGATCCGCTGTCATTTTCCAAAATTCTAGAAACAAAGACTATTGTCTTAATACATGCGGTTTTCTGAATGAGGTAATAAAGCTACCAACCAAACGTCCTGGAAAGAAAGCGAGTTTGTATGGTAGAGACAAAGCAGATAATAATTGATAGTCCCAATATATTATCGAGTGAGGGTAGAAATGAAACTCAAATATTTTACTAGTTTAATTTACAGGAGTTCACTAATGTTTGTCATGGCGCAGAGTTGAAACATGGAGCAACATTCCTAAATGCATGGTGCATAATTGGGGCATAACATTTATTTTTATACCAAGGACATGACGAGATTTTATACAAGTGGTATCACTGATTCCCAATTTCTTATGTATATTCAAATACATATATGCATATACAGCTAGTAGGTACCTGTACTGACGCTCCTTCACGGCGGAATGTTTTCTACGCGAATGTAAAAGTGTAAGCACGCGGATTCGCAAGACGCCACTCTTCTCGTGATTTATTGCCATCTTATATTTTTTTTTTATTTCTTCATCAACTTTATTTTCCCTTTTATCAGGCCCGGCTTGATTCGAGGTACCGCAAATGGCTAAGTTAATGCGCAGCAGCAGGAACACTGTAAGTTGATTCGCACAATTCTCATCTTGAATTGTAAATCAATTGCTCAAAGAATCCCCAGCTTAATCACTATGCTGATCAAGCGAGGATCATTGCAGTATCATAAATACAACACGTGAGTACAATCAGTATACATTTCTTGGGAAGCTAAATATAAATTATAACATATTTACTTGACCTACTAGACTCTCAAGAGATCATTCATCTATTGCTTAGAAAATCGCAGATCAATTTCAGACCCAGAGGCCTAGAATTTGATGACCTCGTTTGATCACGTCTTCTTACCCGATACCAAATTGCTTCTTTTCTGCGATGCGGGTAAAAAGAAGGCGAAAAATATGGCAGTGAATGAACAGAGAGGACCATATAAAATTGTTTCAGGAAGATTTCTTCTACTTTGATTGCAATATGTGAAGTCGTGGAGATATCCAGTGCTACGTATAAGTAAAAAGCAGATACTTCTAGGTTCTAATATAACTGATATATCTTTGGACTCCTAAAGAAGAAGTCGAACGCAGATGGTTGGTAACGCGTTACTTTTAGTGGCGTACATATGCATGCGGCTACAGTACACGTGGATTTTTACTTGGTAGAGCCAGATGGACGCAAAATGCTGACTGGATACTGTTGGAAGCTAACAAAGAAAGATTTTTGGACCAGCCCCGATGCCGTGCACCTGGAAAGATGGGAGGGACCCAAAATTCTGAGGATATAGGAGCGACGAAACACCGAGAAATAATATTGGGAACGTTGCAGCTGTCACGGCAGCTGCAGCCCTCTCAGTCCCTCAGAATCTGACCAGCAGTTTTCATTTTTTTTTTATCATCATCAGGGTATCTTCTAACACCCACTAGCAAGCAAGTATATCTCATACCTAACTAGTCACGTACCACACAAATTATAAACTAAGATAAATTCAAATCGTTACAGTTATAAACATTTATTTCGAAAATGTCTCACTGCCTTAACAGTCATTCCTCATTATGAGTTTACTTAGGCTATTTCAGAACATGGTCAAAGTCCGTTTCAACAATTCTTGACCAAAAGGACTTTGAAAGCATGAAAATAAGAGAAAGTTAGCAAGTATTCTATCTAGATAAGTATTTATATCCACATAAACCAAAGTGACTAGCTGCTGGTTCTTTATTCCCATTTCAGGTCGACCAACACATCCCCAAAGTATCAGCAACCCTTAAAGGAAGGAATGTAGGTAGTATACTGTATGTATGACGATCAGCTGCCCCTCATGGGTAAAACTAAACTTCCTGTGCCACGCGCACATCTGCTCGCTCTATACCCTGCACGATGGACGCTATTCGTTCCACGTTCTATGCACGAGCACGGACCATCGACACTTTTAATTAAGCCGGACCACTCAGCCCACATTTCGTTTACCAAACGGAAGTACTTACTCATTCCTAGAAAACATTATGTCTGTCTACTCTATGGGCACTGTATTCTCTAGGTACACATTGTAGGACACGCTTAATTCCCCTGCTCTACGCCCTGACAACACTTGGAACGAATAATCCTTAGAAAACTCTATCCTCCATGAGTTTCACTTATATTTCCCATGAAAATGTGAACGTCCTGGGCTACCCTAGAATACACCAGGAAGAAGAGACTGCCAGCGAGTGTCTTCTACGTGAGACTGAAAACGTGCAGGAACCTACTACGTTCAGTAGTACATAGATGTATAGGTATGTATAGCGAGTATAGTATGCAAGTTGAGTAACCGACCGTAGTGATACGTTTTGCATTACTATAGCTGTAGAGGAAGGTCCGTATCGCAAAACAGCCAAGTGAAAGGATCTCCAGGAGTTCATCTTGCGTCTACAATCTCTCAGCGCACGAGGACTCCGTGCACTCGGATACGTTAAATTCCTCACCTGCATTCGGAGTTTTCGCGAGGTTAAGTAATATTTTTCTATCGGATAAATATACCATAAGTGAGCTTCGGAGAAAATCATGAAAACCAATGAGAACGGCCATAATTTTATTGACAGAGCTCGCTGGTGAAATGCAAAACGGAGGATTCTCTTTGCATCATTCGCAACGTCCCGCAATAAATTCATAACAGTAATTCGCAACGCATAACCGGAGAGCACGACAGAAGAGGAAAGAAGAACATCTATTTGTTCCACTGCATAAGAAATTGCAATGAAAAATAAAGTCAGGGCAGCTGACACAAGAGGACGTTTCGGTTAGAAGTCAATATTCAACTTGCTCCTGGACTCTTTCGTCATGCTATTTCAAACCGTACAGTTGTACACGATAAACAGAGGAGTACAATGTATAATATAGGTATACAGTATATGGATACCATTGAATTTGATGAGGAATACCGATGACATACGTATGTGCACCAATACGCTGATTTCGCAATAAGAAGCACTTATGTATACCAGGGTAACTAGGTATTCCAAAGTGCTGCAGCTGTCACGGCAGCTGCGTTCGCCAAGCACGCTTCCTTCGCTCGTCGATCGTTCTCGACAATCATTTTATTCACCACGCGTTACCACACGCTACCAGAACTTGACAGCTCCATCGCTTCACGAGGATGAAGCGACACATCGTGACAGAGAAAGTATTCAATGAAAAACATTGCATAAGATTACCAACTGTGCAGAACTGTATGAATTCAGTATTATCATTGTTACCTTATGATTCTGCATGTGAAATCGTAGCGAGTATTACCTTTAGATGGATGAAGTTATAAGAGCGGGGATGATAACCGGTAACGATAAGAATTTTAATTTACTTCTGATATCAGATGGCGAGTCGTAAACTCGATTTTTCCATGTTTGTAACCTTGGCTTGAGATATTATTATAATTAAACTTAATAGCGATACTTTCTCACGCTTATCTCATCTGGCAATTTTTGTTCTACGGACACGTTTAGTAACAATTTTTCATTGGGTCTCTGGCACTTCAGATTATTACTTTTCTTAAGTTAGTAGCGCAGTTGGTATCCTTGCTTGTAGATTTAACGTAACGCGAGTTTAAATTTAATTTCGTCGTTCCGTGAGGATTCATGTATAATGCAGAGCTAATAATGTATTTTAATATTCAACAGTTGCGATAAAGGGGAATTAAAGGAATTCAAATCAAGAGGTTCTCATAAGAATCGAACCATATACGCACCAGTTGTATTCGATACGCTGAGAAGGAGAGGAAATCACAAGAGAAACAAGTACACGGTATAATATGAATCACCGGTAATTTCCTTGCCACGAGCCATTGTAAAGATTTGTGAGAATCCAATGCAATGTTAAACCCCAAGAAATTATTCAAGGTCATGGTCTATTTAACCCTTAAAATCCCACGATTCTCAATGGACAATCCTTTCGACAAGGTACACTATAATTCATTCGTTTCATACCCATTAAACCAACTCTACAGGACCTATACAAGATACACGTGTGGTATCAATGAAACATGGATTAAGCCAAAATGATTATAAACAGTAAAAGCCAAAGCCATACGTAGCAGTATTAAAAACAAATTAGGATATACTCACGTTTCTTCAATTCCAGATATCATCCTAAGTCTTCGAGCTGTATCCATAGGCTGGCACTAGCAGTATAGCAGCTTAGCAGAAAATCGAGTGTAAAATCGGCGTGTAACTCGTTCAAGTAGTAAAAGGGAGTAAATGACAGCACCACCCGAAGGCACTGTGAGACCGAGTGTGACTAGCAAGGAAGGCAACTTGGCAGCGATGCAGAGTAGCGTAGAGGATGGTAGTCGGTATAAAACAGTGGAAACTGCACTAGGGAATACATGGCGAGCCCAGGGTACGCGTACTTAGATAGTTATAAAGGCAAGTGGCGGCGGTGGCGGACAGGTGAACGTGGCGGAACACAGGAAGTGCTGTAGACGGAGAGAACTAACTATATGTATAAGAGCGTGTGAGAATGAGGGAGTGAAAGAGAGAGAGAGAGAGAGAGAGAGAGAGGAGAGTGAGTGAGTGAGTGGGAAAGAGAGAGAGAGAGAGAGAGTGTGTGTGTAAAATATACCAGCATACTTGAGAAGGAAAAGGAGAGTGAGTGAGTGAGTGGGAA